GGCAGCATGGTTGAAGCCACGAGCATGAATCTCATCGAGAGTCTCTCTGCGAGACTGGTACTTGGTATGCTCGGCAGCCCAGTATGATTGAGTCTGAGTGGTATCAGCAACTTCCTTTGCTCGGGCTTGAGCAACTTCAGCATCAGCTTGGTAGACGGCCACGATTGCCTTCGCGTCTGCCTTTACTTTTTTTGCCTCAGACATTGCCTTTGCAAGTTTGGCGACCAACCGAGCCTCGAGCTCCTTAGGCCTTTACAAGGTATCGAGTTCAAGAATTAAGGTGCCTGTCGAGATTGAGGCCAGCAGCAATCGAGATCAAATATGACAGACTTCGAGCAAAGCGCAATAACGGAAAAGCGAGATATCCGTAACCGGTCGAAGATCACAGCAGAAATCCTGGAACACATCAAATCAAGGGCGATTGTTTAGACTAATCATGGAATTTACTTCCGTAATTAGTATTGTACCATTGATAGGAATCATATGCTATATATAGAGGGTTGTAATCATTTTGTAGACACTTCACATTCACAGAGAAAAAGCAATACGATATTCTCTCCTTAATTTACATTCTTTTGCTCATCAGCTTGTCATATTTTTTTTACTCTTCTTGCATTAACCAGTTTGAGGGTATTTGAGCCCGAGAGCTTAATTACGTTGTGACACTGGTTTGCCTTATTTTATTGTCAATTGCCATAGCTAATCTTTACATTTATCAATTGGTATTAGGTGAAATCACGTATCCTTAAATCACATTATATGTTTAATTGTTATCCAGTTTTTAGGGTAAACATATAGGATTCCTTTACTATATAAAGAGGGTTCTAAGCATTTTATAAACACCTTACATTCACGCAGATCAAAGCAATACAATATTTTCTCTCTAATTTACATTCTCATATTCATCAGCTTGTTACATTTAAACTGTTTTTGCAAAACAAGCTCGAGGGCTAAATTTTGGTCAAGCACTGGTTTGCTTTACTTTATTGTCAATTTCCATTACTAATCTTTACATTTATCAATTGGTATTAGGTGAAATCATGTATCCTTAAAACCACATTATAAGTTTAATTGTTATCTAGTGTTTAAGGTAAACAGTTTGGTGCCCACCATGGGGCTAAGGATAATAGTGATTGCCTAGTATTAATTCTTGTAACACACACTACTTTATGCTTTTTCTTGTATGTGTTTTTAATTTCTGGGTTAGCATGTCTAACTCGCAAGCAGTACCCACTCACGCCGATGAAAGCCTCGGTTTCCAATGAGAAAATGATAATGTAGCCGCCCCGGAGATTGAAGTGCCTCAAGCTGGCCATGAGGGAATGCCGATTGGAGACCCCATCGATGTCAGTTTGCACGTCGCCCTATATGCAAATCTAGACGTCAACCCTTGAAATAGTGTCCGCAGAGATGCCCGACTAGTCGATCAAAATGTAGAGAGCGGTGGGAAAGGCGGAATTAGACTTCAAATGATATTTGAAATGTTGCAGACTCAACAAGTTGCAATAGCACAACTCCAAAATCAGTATCGAGCTTGAAATATCACAAGAAGTTGTTCATAGAGTCGAGCCTGTACTGGAGAAATTGAATGCCAATGAATCGGGGACAGAAACCCGCCATTGTGAAGATGCTTGAAGAGCTCACTAAACGGATCGAATCAAGTGAAAAGAAAATTGATGCTAATGACAAAAGGTAGAAACATACAACTCACTGGTTGACCAAATACTGGGGGCACCTCCGATCCTAAAGGGTTTGGATTAGAAGAAGTTCGTGCAGAAGCCTTTCCCTCAAAGTGAGGCTCCGAAGCCCATTCCTAAGAAATTCCATATGCCATATATCCCCAAATACAATGGGACCGCCGATCCTAATGAGCACGTCACTTATTACACATGTGGAATAAAGGGAAATGACTTAGAAAATGATGAGATTGAATCCGTTCTATTGAAGAAATTTGGAGAAACTTTATCAAAGGGTGCCATGATATGGTATCATAACTTATGACCCAACTGTATTGATTCATTTTTTATGCTCGCACATTCTTTTGTGAAGGCACACACCGGAGCTATTAAGGTTGCAACAAGGAAATCAGACCTCTTCAAAGTAAGACAAAAGGATAAAGAGATGCTCAGGGAATTCGCATCTCGGTTCCAAATAAAGCGAATGGATTTGTCTCCAGTCACCGACGATTGGGTTGTTCAAGATTTTACACAAGGTCTCACCGCTTGGAGTTCCATATCTTCACAATAATTGAAGCAAAATTTGATCGAATATCCAGCTGTCACTTGGGCCGATGTACACAATCGGTATCAAACGAAGATTAGGTTCGAAGATGATCAGTTGGGAACTCCAGTTGGTTCAGTTTATCCCAACAGGTCCGTGGACAGAGTTAAAATGGACGCTGATCAGGAACCACGAACAAATAGAGATAGATACCAGACGTACAGTGGATAACGGAGAAATAAAAGATATGGACGCAACCCCATACAAAATGATAGAAGGAATGATCGAGGACAGAGCTCCCGGGGGCTTATGAGTAAAAGTGGTTTCGATGGGGATGTCGGGCCCAAAGAGGCACTCGACTGTTAGAATACAACTTCAGCATCGATGTATCAGGTATTGTATCAGCCATTGGTCAGATTAAGGATACTAGGTGGCCTAGACCCTTACAAACCGATCCAACTCAAAGGAACCCCAATCAAATGTGTAAATACCATGGTACCCATGGTCATAAAATTGAAGACTGCAGACAGTTAAGGGAGGAGGTAGCTCGTCTATTCAACGAGGGTCACCTTCGAGAATTTTTAAGTGATCGGGCTAAGAACCACTTCAAAGAGATTCGAACAGGCAGAACGAGCAGGAAGAGCTACAACACGTAATTTACATGATCATTGGTAGGGTCAATATCCCTCAAGGACCAGTATTCAAATGCACCAAAGTGACAATCACTAGAGAAAAACGAACTCGGGACTAAACGTGTGTTGATTTATCTAGATAGTTCACCAAATATTATTCGGTCAAGGGTCGTAGAGCATGATGACTATAAAATATTTATATATTATATACTTAAAAATAAATTATTTTAAATAATATATATATATATGTCAATTATCTGTATTTTCTAATAGTATTTTGTAGGAAATAAAAATATCATGATAAAGCAAATAAAGGAATAAAAAGAGAAGCACGAGGCAGCATGTCAAAAGAACCACGAGACATCATGGCAATAGAAGCACGACGCATCATGGAAATAGAAGCACGACGCATCATGGAAAAATAACCACGAGGCATCGTGGCACCTTATGAGATTTGAATTCTATAAATAGGATGTTTGTGTTGAAAGGAGGAGGAAGATCATATGTGCCTAATTAACAACTTTTCTCTAGTTTTGGTCTTTGCTTCTTTTTTTATCTATTTCATTTTATCTTGTAGTCTTTGAATTTTCTAAGAGTGTTGATAGTATTTTAAGAATTTCTTTCTTTGTGAGATTTAAATACTCCATAATGGAGTAATCTCTTTTGTTGGGATAGTTGATGAAGCTCGATAGCGTTATAATATTAATCTCAATTTTACTACATGCTTGACCTGAAACTTTCTAATTATATTTCTATATTGTGCTGGAATATTAGTTTTAATTAATTATTATCACTTCTATCTATTTATTCTCCAAAGTTAGTTGTATGTCAATTTTGTAATTCTCACGAAGCAAAATTAATATACGATAACTATTGGGTAAAATAATAGAGTGAGAGTAATTCTTTTTAAGCTATCATTCCAAGTCTGTAATCTTGCTTACTTCCATTCTAATTCTCACGGAGGAGTTGTAGTTGGAAACATTATTGATTTTTAGTAAAAAGTAATCGCAAGAGGTTTTTGCTATCTTTTAGCACAATTCAGTCAAGAAAATTATTTCAGTTTAATCGTCACAAGTAATATATCAATTGATTTACATAACCTCGTGGAGTGTTGTTAATTGATTATTTCTTAGTGAGCAAAATATAATTGTATTAGCAATAAACAGTTATTCCTAAGAGAAATATATGTAGAAGCTAAGATTTTATTATTATCACGCTATCGAGTGAATTCAATGATTCCCAACTCTTTTTAAATATAAATCTTCCGAAAGTTATTTAGTTTCAACTTAAGCAATTTAAATTTTCAACAAACAAAACTTCATCAATTTGATTCGCTCAAATAGTAGTAAGAACATTATAAGTTTGTAGCTAGATTTTCCAATATCTATGGGACGATATCATAAACTATACTAGAATTTAATAGAGTACGAGTAGCAAAATCTTATATGCATTGGCCTCGTCATATTTTTGGCGCCGTTGTCGGGGATTGGCATAAGTCTACTTCAGACTAAATATTCTGTTACTAATTTGGGGATTTATTATTAGTATTATTATCTTTGCTATCAATGTTTACTAAATATTACTACTATTACTTTTACTATTACAAGTACTAACATCTTATACAAGTGTTATTATCATTTATCCTTCTTATCATCATTATAGCATAGCAGTGACTATTATTAATACTAGTACTACTTGTAACTATATTCTATATTAGTATTATATTATTATTTTCCATCGTTAGTTATTGTTACTACTAACTGATTTCGTTTACCATTTTTTTTCATAACATCTATTGCTAATTAGTACTAATATAATTACTATTATCGTATACAACAACAACAACAACAACAACAACAACATTATCATACTACTATTTTTATTTGATCGCTTATTATTTTTGTCATCTTTGTAATCTTTGTTGTCCTTGTTATTCATTACTTTCTTTTAATTATTTTCTTCTAAGTACTACTACTACTACTACAATTTTAGGAGTTAAGTTCAGCTTGTTTTTTTTAGAATTTTAAGTAGTTTATGATCCGCTCTTCTATAAAAGAGTTGGTCAATTACAATCCTGAAATTGAAAGATCTCTTCAATTTTGCAGGAAAGGACAAGCATTATCTTCCCAAAGCATAGCTTCTTAAGGTATGGAGAATCAGGAAGTAAGCAACCCACGCGAAGTACCACCACCAGTCCAAATAGAGGATCAATTTGATGAAGTGGCGCCAAGGCCAGCAAACAGAATCCTAAGGGATTATGCTAGACCTGACCGCTTCAACTATGAATCTAGTGTCAGAAAATCTCCAGTGGCAGCCAACAACTTTAAAATCAGGACTGGCCTGATTCAAACAATTCAACAGTCTTGCATCTTCACTGGAGACGCAAGTGAAGATCCATACAGTCATTTAATTGACTTTTTGGAACTTGTTGAAACAGCTAAGTATAATGGAGTACCTCCTGAAGCTATCAAGTTAAGGCTATTTCCTTTCTCTTTAAAAGGAGATGCCAAGACTTGGTTGCGAAGTTTGCCACAAGGTTCCATTACCACATGGGATCAAATGACTCAGAAATTTTTAAACAAATATTTTTCCCCTGCTAAAACCACAAAGTTAAGACAAGATATATCTAATTTCTTGCAGACTGACACAGAGTCAGTTTATCAAGCTTGGGAAATGTTAAAAGCAATGTTAAGAAAATGTCCACACCACGATATTCTTGAACATATACTATTGTATATTTTTTATCACGGGCTAAAACCCTCTTCTAGAAATGTGATAGATGCAGCTGCAGGAGGTTCAGTAATGGGAAAAACAACAGAGGAAGCATTGCAATTGTTGAATGAAATTTCTGAGAATGTCATCCAATGGCCATCTGAGTGTATAATTATCAAGAAGGCCGCTACAGTAAATCAGGTTGATGCTTTAAATACACTAACACATCAAATTGTTTCTTTATCACAAAAGTTTGAAACTTTTCAGGTGAATACACAACAACCAAGTCAATTTGAGGCTTGTGACATGTGTGGAGGAAATCATCAGAACCATGAATGTCAAGCAACCAATCACAATGATGAACATGTCAATGTCATAGGTTACAAGCAGTATCCTTTTGGAAGTCCAATGGCACAGAAACATCCAAGATTTCAATGGAGCAATCCAAATGGTGCAGAGAACTCTCAAAGCTTCCAGAAGCAACAAATACAGGGTCCACCCGGATACCAGAATCCAAACCATGGTCAATCAAACTTTAGACCTTATCAACAAGCAGGGCCCTATCAGCAAAGGCCTCAACAAGCTCATTCAAGTCTTGATGATCTTCTGTATAAGTATATTAAGGTCACTGATGAAAAGATGGAGAGCCAAAATTCATCCCTCAAAAATCTGGAAATACAGTTGAGCCAATTGGCAGCTCTTGTTTCAGAAAAGATTCAAGGTCCCTTACCAAGCAATACAGAGAAAAACCCAAAAGAGCACCTTAAGGTCATCACCTTACGGTCAGGTAAGGAGCTTGATGAACCCTATGCAGACCAGTCAGAACAACCGGTAAACAACAGTAAGAATGTTGAAATACCCTCTGAACCGTCTGAAAAGAATAAAGTCAAGAAAAAAGAAGAAAAAAATATTGAAAAATTGACTCCTCTCCCTGTGACTATTCCCTTTCCACAAAAAATGAAAAGAGAAAAGTTTGACAACCAATTTGCAAAATTTTGGAGATTTTAAAACAAATTCACATCAATATTCCTTTTACTGATGCTTTATTACAAATGCCTTCATATGCCAAATTCTTAAAGGAAATTTTGTCAAGTAAAAGAAAATTAGAAGAAGTTTTTGTGGTAATGCTTACGGAAAAATGCAGTGTTATACTTCAAAATAAGCTACCACAAAAACGTGGTGATCCAGGCAGCTTTACAATTCCATGCACTTTGGGAGGAGTATATTTTGAAAAAGTACTTTGTGATTCTGGAGCTTCAATAAATTTAATGTCATTTTCTATCTTTAAAAAGTTAGATCTTGGTGAAATAAAAGACACAAGTGTTTCTCTTCAGTTTGCAGATCAAAGTACTAAGAAACCTAAGGGAATAATTGAAAATGTACTCGTAAGAGTAGATAAGTTTGTTTTCCCTGTAGATTTTATAGTACTTGAAATGAAAGAATGTCCTAATGAACCAATAATTTTAGGTAGACCATTTCTTGCTACAGGAAAAGCAATTATAGATGTTCATCAAGGACAATTAATTTTAAGAGTTGATGAAGAAAGAGTCATATTTGATATGCAAAAGATACTAAGATATTCAAGAGATGAAACATCATCTTTATGTTTTTCAATTGACATGATTGGTTATCTTACAGATGAATTCAAAGATGATCAATTAATTCCAGATTCAATGGAAAGATGCTTGATCAAATCAGGCACCACACAGGACGATGATCCCATCATTAGAAGAGAAGCTCAAAAATTGGACAAAGATTCAGAAGAAGAAGAGATGAAATCCGAAAAAGTTCAATCAAAAATTGAACTCAAAACTCTTCCTTCTCATTTGAAATATGTTTATCTTGAGCAAGAATTATTTCTAGTAATTATTTCATCTTTTCTTACTACAGAACAAGAAAATAGTTTGATTAAAGTATTGAAAGCACACAAAGGAGCCTTGGGGTGGACTGTAGAAGATATTAAAGGGATTAGTCCGGATATTTGTACACACAGAATCCTCATGGAGGATAGCTACAAGCCAATAGTCCAGCCGCAAAGAATATTGAATCCAGCAATGCAGGAAGTAGTGAAAAAAGAGATTGTAAAGCTGTTGGCAGCTGGTATTAAATATCCCATTTCTGACAGCCCGTGGGTAAGTCCCGTTCAGGTAGTACCAAAGAAAGGAGGTATGGCAGTTATAAAAAATGAAAATAATGAGCTCATACCTACCAGGACTATTACAGGATGAAGAGTCTGTATTGATTACAGACGTCACAATGATGTCACTAGAAAAGATCATTTTCCTTTGCCATTTATTGATCAAATGTTGGAAAGAATTGCACGATATGGTTTTTACTGTTTTCTTGATGGCTACTCAGGATATAATCAGATACCAATCGCACCAGAAGATCAAGATAAGACAACCTTCACATGCCCTCATGGAACATATGCCTACAGGAGAATTCCATTTTGTCTGTGCAACGCCCCTGCTACATTTCAACGTTGCATGTCGGCAACTTTTGCTGACATGACTGACAAATTTCTTGAAATTTTTATGGATGATTTTACACTATTTGGCAAAACATATAAGGATTGTCTTAACCATTTGACCTTAGTTCTTAAAAGATGTGAAGAAACAAACTTAGTTCTTAATTAGGAAAAATGTCATTTTATGGTTACTGAAGGAATTGTTTTAGGACATAAAATCACTGCTAAAGGGATAGAAGTTGATAAGGCAAAAATTAATCTTATAGCAGGATTACCCCTCCCACAACTGTGAAAGGAATTAGAAGCTTTCTAGGTCATGCAAGTTTTTACAGACGATTCATAAAAGACTTCTCAAAAATTTCAAAACCGCTGACTAACCTCTTGATGAAAGACACTAGGTTTGATTTTTCAGGTAACTGTGTGAAAGAATTTGAAACCCTTAAGGAAAAGTTATCAACTACACCTGTAGTTGTGTCCCCTGATTGGAACCAACCTTTTGAGGTCATGTGTGATGCTAGTGATACAGCAGTTGGAGCTGTTTTAGGCCAAAGAAGGGATAAGATTTTTCGTCCTATTTACTATGCTAGTAGGACATTGAGTGAGACACAAGTGAATTATGCCACGACAGAAAAAGAGTTACTAGCGGTAGTGTTTGCTTTTGATAAGTTTCGCTCCTATTTGATAGGAACCAAAGTTACTGTTTTTACTGATCATGCAACCTTAAAATACCTCTTAGCTAAGAAAGATGCTCGACCTAGATTATTAAGATGAATTTTACTTCTGCAAGAATTTGACCTAGAGATAAAGGACAAAAAGGGACAGAGAACCAAGTAGCTGACTATTTGTCTAGATTAGAAAATCCTCCCCTTGAGTTTAATGAGATAAAAGAAGAATTTCCTGATGAACATATTTTTTCAGTTGACACAATTATGACTCAACCACCCTGGTTTGCAGATATCGCGAATTACTTGGTTGGAAAGTGGATACCGCAAGATTTCTCTTACCAGCAAAGAAAAAAGCTTATATCTGATGCAAAGTATTATCTGTGGGATGAACCTTACTTATTCAAAAATTGTGCAAATAATATCATTAGAAGGTGTGTACCTGAAGAAGAGATGAATAAAATTCTATATCACGGTCATGATGGAGCAATTGGAGGACATTATGCAGCAAATCGAACAGCTTTTAAAGTTTTAGAATCCGGATTCTTCTGGCCCACACTCTTTAAAGATGCCCGAGCATATGTAGGATAATGTGATAGGTGTCAGAGAACAGGTAATATCACCAAGAGAGATGAGATGCCACTGCAATCAATACAGGTATGTGAAATATTTGATGTTTGGGAAATAGATTTTATGGGTCCTTTTCCTTCTTCTCACTCTTTTGAATATATCCTTATGGCTGTGGATTACGTGTCAAGATGGGTTGAAGCCATCCCCACAAGAAAGAATGATGCTCGTACAGTGCGTAATTTTCTTAGAAAAAATATTTTTACCATATTTGGCACACCGCGAGTCATCATTAGTGACCAAGGAACTCATTTCATCAATAGGCAATTTTCTGCTTTACTGTCAAAATATAATGTGACTCACAAAACAGGAATACCATATCATGCTCAAACTCAAGGGCAAGTTGAGGTTTCCAACCGCGAGTTAAAAAGAATTCTTGAAAAAACGGTTGGAATCTCAAGAAAAGACTGGCTTTAAAATTAGATGATGCATTATGGGTTTACCGAACGGCTTTCAAAACGCCAATTGGGACATCTCCATATAGATTAGTCTTTGGAAAAGCTTGTCATTTTCCCGTAGAATTAGAACATAAAGCTTTTTGGGCATTGAAAACACTGAACTTTGATTTAACCTCAGCTGGTAAAAAGTGATCTATTCAGGTTAATGAATTGGAAGAACTGGGATTGGGGGCCTATGAAAATGCTAAAATTTTAAAGAAAAAACAAAAATATGGCATGACAAGTTGATCCGACCAAAGAGTTTCAAAATTGGAGATCAGGTACTTCTTTACAATAGCCGACTCAGGTTATTCCCAGGAAAATTAAAATCCAGGTGGACGGACCCTTACAATGTTATAGGTGTTACTCCATACAAGGCAATTGAAATTCAGAAAAATGGAGACAAGTTTAAGGTAAATGGTCACAGGCTAAAATTGTACTATGGAAGACATTTTGAACAACATCCATCGGTTACTTTGATAGACTGATGAATTCTACAATTAATAAGTCGAGCTGACGATGTTAAACTCAGAACTAAGATACAAAACTCGTAGCCATTGAGGGAGAAGCAGTGGAGCCTCATAAGCCCGATATAGATTTGGGTAATTAAATGCTTAATTAATTGATCTGATCAATATCCAGGTTATTGTACAACCAGAACATCTCATGAAGACCTCTACAACAACAGAGTCACCTATGTGGGAGTAATTCCATGGTGATCGGTATGCCTAAGTAACTGGTTGATTAACCATTTAATGAATCAATTCAAAATGTTGGCACAAGTAAATTTGTTGGTTTATATTAAAACCAGAACCAATTGACTGATAAGGNCATTATGATCTCAATAGGTAGAATCAATAAAATTCTGCTAGAACTTGCCCCAAATGTCTATCAAAGTGAAATTCTAGACAACGCTATTTTTAGAATGAAATTAGGCTTTCTTTGACACCTTTTTTAGCATATCTATTTTTAACCACAAATATTTATATTTTACCTTTTAGCACCCAACTTTGAGCCCAAAAAAAAAGAGGGATAAACCAACTTTTATTGATATACCATATTGGTTTACCTCACAAAAAGATTGATACTACTCCTTCCGGCTATAGTTGAGCAAAAATGATTATTAAAGCAAGCGATGAAGGAATACTTATGGAGTAAATATTCTATTTCACTCTTTAAAAAAAGAAGAGGAAAACAAGGTGTATATACCTGTAAAATAAATTATTGGTTCAAGAAGCTTGAATTTAAGAAATCTATTGAGAGAAATGATGAATTAAGTGATATTAATTATGAAATTGGAGACCGGGAACTTTAGCCCAATCTCTAGAGTTATTTTCTTGTGTTGAGTTGTACATAGTTACTTTGATAAAATAATCTGCTCTCATAATAAAGCTGGAGGGAACAAAGTCACTACAAATATATCCTTTTACCTTACCAGCATTAAGCCTATCATTACAAGCCTGAAAAGGTCCTAAAATAATTTTAGAAATTAGTGTTGATTCTACATTAGTGGAGACTGACATGAAGGGCAAGCTTATGGACAAAATTTGAGAAACTCGAAATTGTAATCATAATGTTATCAATGTCAAAAGGTTCACCCAAAGAGGAGTTGAAAGTTTTTGGCAAACAAAAGCAGAAGCAGAAACAAGGTATAGATTTGGCGACTTGAAAAACTTATAGGTTTTGAATTTTATGTGAAACTTTATTTTTTAAATTTTTCTACTCTACAAGAAACAACAATTATTAATAAAATTACTGCCTTGAGGACGAGCAAGGATTCAAGTGCTGGGGAGTTTGATGACTATAAAATATTCATATATTATATACTTAAAAATAAATTATTTTAAATAATATATATATATATATATATATAATATGTCAATTATCTGTATTTTCTAATAGTATTTTGCAGGAAATAAAAATATCATGATAAAGCAAATAAAGGAATAAAAAGAGAAGCACGAGGCATCCTGGCAAAAGAACCACGAGGCATCATGGCAATAGAAGCACGACGCATCATGGCAAAAGAACCATGAAGCATCGTGGCACCTTATGAGATTTGATTTCTATAAATAGGACGTTTGTGTTGAAAGGGGGAGTAAGATCATATGTGCCTAATTAACAACTTTTCTCTAGTTTTGGTCTTTGCTTCTTTCTTTATCTATTTTATTTTATCTTGTAGTATTTGAATTTTCTAAGAGTGTTGATAGTATTTTAAGAATTTCTTTCTTTGTGAGATTTAAATACTCCATAATGGAGTAATCTCTTTTGTTGGGATAGGTGATGAAGCTCGATAGCATTATAATATTAATCTCAATTTTACTACATGCTTGACCTGAAACTTTCTAATTATATTTCTATATTGTAGTTTTAATTGATTATTATCACTTCTATCTATTTATTCTCCAAAGTTAGTTGTATGTCAATTTTGTAATTCTCACGAAGTAAAATTAATATACGATAACTATTGGGTAAAATAATAGAGTGAGAGTAATTCTTTTTAAGCTACCATTCCAAGTCTGTAATCTTGCTTATTTCCATTCTAATTCTCACGGAGGAGTTGTAGTTGGAAAGATTATTGATTTTTAGCAAAAAGTAATCGCAAGAGGTTTTTGCTATCTTTTAGCACAATTCACGCAAGAAAATTATTTCAGTTTAATCGTCACAAGTAATATATCAATTGATTTACATAACCTCGCGGAGTGTTGTTAATTG